TTAAAACACCTTCCCCCCACCCCTCCCTTCTTCCCAGGCTCCACTTCTCTCCTGACTTCTCTACCTCCTCCCCCTGAGCAGCGCAGGGGGATGGGGAATGGGGGTTGTGGTGAGTTAATTCATGCATTGTCTCTGCTGCTCCTTCCTCCTCACACTCTTCCCCTGCTCTGGCGTGGAGTCCGACCCAAGCGAGACAGTCCTTCACAAACTGCTCCAGCGTGGGCCCTTTCCACAGGGTGCAGTCCTTCAGGAACGGACTGCTCCAGTGTGGGTCCCACATGGGGCCACAGGTCCTGCCAGGAGCCTGCAAGTGCCAAATCAAGAGGAACAGTTGCTTGCCTTGGCCTCCTGGTTGCTGTCTTGCTGCTACTGCCCAGGGTGTGGCTGGCCACCTCTGCCACAAGGGCACAGTGCAGTATGTTGTCCTCTGTTGTTGTTCACCTGTTGCAGCTCCTGTTGTCCACCAAGACTCCCAGCTGCTTTTCTGCAGAATTACTCTTCCTTCAGTTGTCCCCCAGCCTGTCCTATTGCGTGGGGTTCTCTCATGTGGAGAGCACTATCCATAGCTGTGAGCCTGGTGTTCAGCTGGTTCTGTACACAGCTTATGGCCCACTACCCAATCTATATCTCGTCTCTTGAGGTTTGGGCATATTGTGTGGGAATAGGTCAGAAGCCTTGCTAAAGTCAAGGTGTGAACAGTGTCCATTGCTCTTGCCTTGTCCACAGAGCTGGCTACTTCTTACTCAAAGACAATTAATTGACTTTCAACTTGCGCTTTTCGGTATAAAGAGCACCGCTTGAGATAATTTATGAACAAATACCTTCTCTTTCCTATAGGCATATACTGCCGGAAGCATGGTAGAATAAGTTTTAGTGGCATCTTAAAAATGAGGATAATTTATTGTAGTAACAGAACAGTTGTTTAATGACTACTTATTTCTGTTGACAGTGGCCAGAATCCTCTGCTGAAGAGCAATAGAAGGTGATAATATACCTCTTATTCCTAGGATCTAGCACCTAGTTTTGTTGGGAGTCTAGGCTACTTTCCTTTGCTTGATGTAGTGAGAAATAAATCTAATAGCCTTTATCAGTAACAGTACACATATGCTTTTAAAAATTATTTTGAAGTTTAATTTGGATTCATAGAGATTATGTATATATTTTCCAGTGACTAGAAAAGTCTTCCTGGAAGGATGTGTCCTAGTGTGTGGGAGACCTGATTTGCAATGGTTGGATGAGCATTATGTATTCTAGTGTTGATACAGAGATCCCTGTGATTTGCAGATATATTGATGCTTACTTAACCTTCTGGCACATGATGGCACGCTAAATTTTTTACAAATGCAGTTAAGAGCTCCTTTCTGGGAACTTTAAAATAAATTTTTTAGTTCTTACTTTTGAATCTGAAAACCTTTTTGCCTCTGAACTTGTGCCATAGCTGTTACCAGACATCAGAGGAAAAGAAATAAGTGTTTTTACACTTTGAAAGAGGATGAATTTTAGCCTGATGGCATGTGTGAAAAGCTTCATGGCAACTCTACTTGTAGAACCAATTGTTAAAATGAGAGCGCCTCTTTTTTGATATGTAAAGGCAGATAAAATATTCTCCTATTCCTTGTGCAATTGTGGTTTTTTAGCGTGAATTTTTTTCATGATTTTTCTGATAAAACTCCTGTTTGAGAAATTACTTCTGTCTTTGCTTTCTTGCTCTTTTTCACTGGTTTAGAAATTGTGGGACTAAAACAAATGCCCAGGTTCCTAATTTCTCGTGGGTTTTACTCCTCTGTATTCGTCCATCAGGTGGATATATCTTTGGCTTGAGATCAGCAGTAAAGAAGGGTTTGTGTAGGCGAAACAAGCTCTTAGGCTTTGCGTAGTAGAACTGCACAGCTTCATCAATTTCTGTTAAACTAAGTTTTAAAACCGTCTTGGAGATACTGCTACTTGCTCAGCAAACTCTGGGAGTCTTATACCTTGGTCTCTCTTTGTAGTTGTCAGTAAAGAACTTCCCTAGTTCTGGCCTTTGCTTTGGTAGAAGGACATGGTCACATGTTCAGCTTTGCATCTAGGCTGACCTTTTCTAGCAGGAGGTGGGAATCTTATCCCTTGGTCTCTCTTTGTAGCCGTCAGTGAAGAACTTCCCTGGTTCTGGCCTTTGCTTTGGTAGAAGGACATGGTCACATGTTCAGCTTTGCATCTCAGGCTGACCTTTTCTAGCAGGAGATTTAGATGAGCTTTGATTCTTGCAGGAGGCTTTTGTTCCCTGTTAAGAGTATCTGTGTGATGTTGTCTGCATTAGAGGGAAAATTTGAAGCTAGCTCCATAGTTGGTGGAAAAAGTTGCAGTATAATTGTTTTAAACATGAAATGTGCAGCTTTCAAGGGTCGGAAAGACACGATGGCAATAAAATGCTTAATGATCTCTAACATATTTATTAGACTAGAAGAAAGCCTCTGGATAACTTCTGATATTCCTCCTTGACTTTTCTTCTCCAAAAGACAATACATATTGCTTGGAATATGTTTTATTTGCTGAAATGGATAAGAAAACTGACTAACTGCAGTGCTGTAGGCAACAATCCTAACCATAAGATGCGAATATCTGGTCACTGAATAGTGGAAGAAATGCATCAGTTACTATACTAGCTATGAAGACTGTGCTGTATTGGAAAATGGGCACCAAACTGACTTTCTGCTATAAAATTTCCTGCCTTTCCCTATTGGAAGGGAGACTAAAGCACTGGTGAGGAAAAAAAAAATGCCCAACTTCTTTCAAACTTTTATGCCAAATATTTAACGTCATTGTTTGAACTGTTAAAGGCTGTTAGATTTTGAGTGGACAAAGCACATGCAGCGGCCATTTACAGAAGACTTGAACAAAATAAATGATATTGAGGACCTTTTAATGTCTTCCGAACTTTGAGAAAATACTAGCAAAGCACCTGCATTTTTGGTATGATGATTCTCTAAATGGCCACATTGCTTTCTGCATAACTCATTGATACTGAATCTAATAGAAAAATTTCAGCAGCTTTTGTTAGAAGTGTGAATGAATGATCTCTGATGCACTTGAAGCAGGATGGAATCTGCAAGGAGTGATGCTCCCCCCTGAAATTATGCTTTAATTCTTGGCTTTGTTTTTTTTTTTCCCATGCTATCACTTGTTACCTTTTTCTTTGGTAAGTAAACTACAGCTTCCTCCATGTTAACAAAATTCAAAAGCATTTGATGTGGTGCACCTGCACAATATACACTTAGCCCCTTCATATAACTCTTGCAAGCAATTTAGAAGCTTAGCTGTCTTCTGATAAGTACTGGCAAATTTATATGCTAAATGGAGATGCTAAAGTAGACAACCTTTTCATCAGTGATTTCTTGTAGACTGCTGTAACTGGAATAAAACAAACTTAGTTGTGAAGATGAACCAGAGATTCTAGCATACTTATGTACGACAGCTTAATACCACTCAGCTTTTGATTCCCATGTGACTTTATTTTAATGAAGGTATTAGGCAAAAGGGACATTTTCTAACCCTTTATAAAATGGTATTTAAGAACAATTCCAGAAAACTTGAAATCAGCGTTGAATGAATCAGAAAGGAAACAAGCTAAACTTCACTGTATTAGTGGACATTTAAGTAGCAATTAGCTTTACCAAATTGTAGCTGAAGAAAAAGTTGGAGAGAACTCTTTTGTGTGTGGTAACTCTTCTAAGGCTAATGTATGATAGACTACAGAGGATGAGGATTTGAAAATGACTTCTCACATATGTATTTCAGCGAATTATTTTGTACTTTTTAAATTTTTTGCCAATGAAATTAAACTGTAAACTGCATAGCTATTTCTGAGGAGTTAAAATTCTTTGCTACTGATTGCCTTTAAAATAATAACCAGATGTGATTCCCTGGCTACTGAGGTTTAATATTCGCTATAATTTGTAAATAGGTTTCATTTTGTTTAATGGTTAAATTGCTAGGAATTATTTTTGAGGGCATAACTGAGGTATAATAAAAAGTTTGAAAACCTCAGTAGGTTAAAATTATTCTTTTCTGCAACTGATTCCTCATTAGAATATTCTCCAGAGTGAAGTGTGTCTTCATTTATTTTGCTATTGCTTCCTGAGAATGCTTTTGAAAAGTATGATTAGAAAATCTAAGCCTTTCTTGATTGGGATTACGCTCTTAAATTTTATAATGACTCTTGAGGAGTTACTCTGTGCTTCTCAGCACAATGTGTTGTGACACAGTTTTCTGTAGTCTTTGATAGAGTTAATATAATCAAATAAAATCCCCACCCTTCAATATACTTTTGGTGCATTTTTTCCTTTAACACAACTGATGTTGTTTTCCCATTCACTGATATTTAAATTCCAGTATGCCAAAATGCCTAAAATTAGGCATTTTCTCATTTAATATCAGCAGTGTATTCATACTTACCTGATTGTTTTAGCTGATCTGCAAGACTTATTAGAAATCTTATGTGGAAAACCAGAAACATGAATTCTCTAAGGTTCTGCATAGTACAGGCGAAACAGTTTTATACAGGTGTTCATTCAAACCATGTGCCACATATCTGCTTTTTTTTTTCCTCCCGTTTCCTTTCTAAGCTGCCTCTGAACTTGTTTGTTACAATGTCTTGTATTTTTTCTGGCTGTCATCTCTTCTCTCTCAGTTCTTGTGCATGCATACTGTTAAGAGGTGTTAAGTGGCTGAACTAATGTGTCATTTCAATAGCTTATGTATGTTTATTGCACCCTAATTGACTTGGGAAAACTTCTTTGAGTGTGCATTTCTGTAATTGAGTCCAAATCTTGAACGGTTAATTTCTTCTTAGAAGTGGTGCACCGTCTCCAAAGAGGACATCTATTAGCACAAGATCCTCAGTGAGGGGCAGCAGAGATCATTTTACTGGTGAATCATACACAGTGTTGGGTAAGGTGAACTTTTTACTTCTGTTAGAGGTGTAATGCTGTTGGAAGGGCAGATTAAGTAAGAATTTGAGGGAAAATCTACGATTGTTCAAGGCTGTGTACTTGATGCTGTCCTGCACAGAGGTAGTTTTGCCTATATAATACCAGAATTCCGTGCTGCAGCAAGTGTCTTCAAGTCTGTTGAAGCTTTTCATTACAAAGCTCTTAGTGACTGACGTTCACTGCTATTAAGTGTGAGTTGATGTTAATGTATCTTGTCTCAATGAGTGTAAGTAAAAACTGTCTCATTATTGTATTTTATATTCTATTTTCTTGTAATTTTTTTTGTTCCTTATAGTTCAGATTTTTGTATTTCTAAGCCTTCACCTTAAAATAAAACAGAAAAGACATCATTGGTGCCTATAAGGAAGCAAGCATTGTAAAGCACATGTAAATATAGCAACTAAATGTGGGTTTTGTTTTGTTTTTTTTTTTTGGTAGGAGACACTGCTGTTGAAAGTGGGCAGCATTACTGGGAGGTGAGAGCCCAGAAGGACTGCAAATCCTACAGCGTGGGAGTAACATATAGAAACCTGGGGAAATTTGACCAGCTGGGAAAGACTAGTTCAAGCTGGTGCATCCATATCAACAACTGGCTGCAAACCACATTTTCAGCAAAACATAATAATAAAACCAAGACTCTAGAGATACCTGTTCCAGACAGAATAGGAGTATACTGCGACTTTGATGGAGGTAAATTATAATCTATGAGATTTGGCTAAAAACTTAGTTAGCTATCCATGTCAAGTTGAAGCAGTACGAAGCTAAAGTAGTACATTACTTCCAGATTGATGTAGTCTCTTAATGAAAATAAGGCCCAGAGCTGTCTGTGTAATAGTGCTTGTAATGCCAAATGACCTGGGTTCATCTATGACAGAGCTATTAACTGAGAATTTTTCAGTCATGTGGACTTTATTTAGTGTGTTCTGGAAACCTTTCCCTGGACAAGAATCAATTTTACAAAAAGTTACACAGCAATAGCATTTAAACATGTATTTCAACTTGTTTTCTGCCTCTTTTAGGTCAGCTCGCATTTTATAATGCAAACTCAAAGGAGCTGTTACACACCTTCAGAACAAAGTTTACCCAACCATTATTACCAGGCTTCATGGTCAGTATCTATAAAATTTTGTTCAGTTTCTAGCACTGAATTCAGTTTACTGAAGACTTAATTTTTTTTTTAAAGAAGGAAACTGGGAGCACTCTTTTTGGCTGACTAATAATTTTTAAAAATGTTTAACTGTTTTCTTTTTGACTTCATGTGGCGCTTATAATAGCACTCCAGTAGGAGAACACTGCACCTGGATGTCTCAGCTATGTAAATAAGTGATTAAATTTTTGTAGGGTAAATTAATAGCACATTCCGGTAGCTGATAAGCCTGCTACAATAATTGACCTGAACTGATGCAGATAGGAGCCCAAGATGCTGCGAGCTGTCAGAGCAGGTGTCATGAGACAGAACAACATCAGATGCTTCCCTCTGAGATACAAAACTCTAGCTTTCAAATCTTTAGAAGCTCAGTGGTATTTTCTTGCCAGTCATTTCACTGGTCTGCATAACTTTTTTTTGTGGCTCTAAGCTAATCGGTGAAAACTTGCTGCAATTCTAAAGACTCAAGCCTTGCAAAAAATGCACAGGAAAAGGATTAGTTACTGCATACTGGTTCTCCTTTAATGATTTAAGTAACTAAATTTGGAAGCCTCAACTGCGTTACAAGGTCCCATCAAGTGCATCATACTTTGGGAGCAGGGTATACGTCTGCGAAAACTTAGGAATTTGGAGGAGGCTAGCATGCTAGTTCATACTAACAACTCAGCTGCCTATGCACTGATCTCTAGCCTCTTGTAATTCAGCCCATAGAAAACATGGCATGGTGATTTTTCAAGTGTGATTAGGCCAATTGATAAAGTTTATTCTTCTTTTGGGCATGGAGGATGAATGGAAAAGTAGTAACTTGCCTAGGCAGCCTTACATCTAGCCTTTCCAAACACCTGACTTTTCACTTGTATCAGACAGAATTCCTTTCACAGTTTCTACTGTTGGCTAGATGTACTGACAATAAGAGTCTAGATTTAATAGCTATTTATTTGGAGGTGACTAAGCACGTTGCCTTACTGATCCTTTTCAACATATGGGGAACAGAATAGCTTCAGAACTGTTGGGATACATGTGTTAGTCATCCCTCTAGCATTGCTGAAGCTGACTCATTCAGTCAGTTCCTAAGGCATCCAAGGAAACATTTGCTTACCACACTTCGGCCTATTAGTCCGCATCTCACACAGCCCCTAGTACTTATTGATAGCAGTCTTACAGACACTACTTGGGTTAGCCTGAACAGTTAAAATAAAAATGACAAGCTACTTAATTACTGCCCTTAAATTTATCCATAAACATGGAGATACATGAAAGAATGTAACTCAGGTGTAGAATAGAGGTCACTGGCACCTGTGCTGCTGAAGCTTCTCAAAACTCAATTTTTTTGGTACTATGTTTACATTGACGTAATTCTGCCATGTCATAACAAAACTAAGCACTGCTTTCAGACACTGGAGCATAGGGAGAGTATTGCTTTTCATTGTCATTCTAAGTACTTGTTGCTAGCACATCGGTCTCCAAAGAAGTTTTCCTATTAAGAGCAAGTCTTTTAGTATTAGATCTTAGACTTGGTTATAAACTTAGTTATAAAGCATAGTATGTGAAGCATCTTAGACTTTATGGTCTTAAAAATAAGCTTCTGTGTGATTAGAACGTTTTAGAGTGCTGTGACTAGAGAGCAAGAGAGAAGACAAATGCAGTTGCAGGATAAGTTTTGTGTTAGTTCCATTGTGGGACGGGAGAAGAGAGATGTAGGTGCTTCATAATGTTCAGAACACTGATTTATTTTTTTTTTCTTCCTTAGATCTGGTGTGGTGGGCTTACAGTGAGTACTGGATTGCAGGTGCCAAGTGCTGTGAAAACGCTCCAGAAAAGTGAAAATGGGTTGAGTGGTTCAACAAGCAGCCTGAACAATATTGCCTAGTAATGTCTATTAAACACTTCTATTGCTGAATGGTTTTTTTTCTGTGTAGCTGCTACTCACAGAAGCTTGTGAGCATTGGATTAAACTGGGTTTGCTACCTACTGCTGTTTAAGGCCTGGGTACTAATAGTGCAAAGGTTTGGGGCTAAAGTGTTAGGAACCTACTATGAATCCAGACAGAAATGTCAGACAGAAAACTGAACTGTTGCCTATTTGAAAAATAAGTGGAGAAATCAAGAGCTGTAACTATGTACTTTTCTAATAAGCATTTTGTTATGGGCTTTAGTATTAATTTTGTTATGAATAATATTTTTCTATGAAGAATATAACATACCATTTTCTTAGCTCTCCTAACATGAATTACTTTACTATATATTTTATTATTACTGGGCTTCCCATTAGAACTTGTGATATCAAACATGCATTTCAAAAGAATATTGATTTGCTAGCCTAACCTCGCAAAATATCACAGCAGTATGATTTCAAAAGAACGTTATAAGAAGTTGTAGGCCTGATATGAAGAAACAGTAAGAGCAGTCTGATTTTTTTCTTATACAAAATCTTCCTATTTCCCATGATTAACTCATTTAAATATCATATATTTAGAGTTTGGCTCCCGTTTATCACAAATTACAGAAAATGTAAAAATTTAAAGGTATTTAAAAACATCCTTATGTCCTCAGTGAAGACGCATTATGATAGCCAGCCATTGAGCTAGGAAGTATTTCAGGTAAGAGGTTCAGAACCAAAGATCCAGAGCTTTTTAAAAACTACAGCGTGGTACTGCTCTCTCAGAAGCTCTTAATTTTGGGTCATCTCTTGGCTTTCCAGTTTTGTGGCGCTATTCTGATTGGATTCTGATAATCAGCAATTCACATTGTTCATCAGATGCGAATGGCAAATTGAATCTTTGTCTGCCAATAGCAAAGCTGCAATGCAGCCAAGGCTGGGAACAAGGGTGTGAGAGCTTCAGTTTAAATGCATCTCCCCAGAGAAGATGGGGGTGGGGTGGGCTGGTGGCTATTGCTAAAACATCTTTCAGCTTTTTCTCAAGCCAGCTTCAAGGCTGGCTAAGACTTCTCGAACAGCTGTCTCGATATCAAAGCTGGCTTTGAGCAGAAGCGGCACAAAATTCCTGGTGATAGGGCAGTATCCTCTGAGTCCAGGTGCACGCTTCTGCTACCTGTTTTGACTAGCCTAATGAGGATTCCTGGAACTTTGTGGATAAGCAGAGAAGTCCAAAAATGGCATGATTTCTGTATCCAGCAGAAATGTAGCTTATATACATAGCATCCCACTCCTAACTTGCTACTTTGTACCATATGCCATCTATATGTGGCTCCAAGACTGGCTTTCAGAGGATCATATTCTGAAGGATCTCTTTATAGACTCCAACTTAACGCCTTCCCCTTTTTTAAGGGCAAGGAAAAAGTGGAAAGTGAGCAAATGCTTTGCCAGCTAACATACAATCTACTTCTGGATCTGTGGTTATACATTTTCATTCACAGATCAAGTGAAACGTTGAGCCTGGGTGTTCCATCATCTCAGCTCCTAGTTGGAAGCTTAGTAACAATAGTCGAATGATTTGTAATAGTGGGAGAGCTAAAAAAAATCATGTTATATTCTTTGTAGAAAATCTCAACTTTTCAATGAGAATTACTTGTGTATTATAGACTGTTTAAATCTGCTTTCTTCCCTCTAATCAAGTCCAGGAGCCTAGGAATAATTTTCAGATACACACTTGAATCAACTGTTTCCTAACTGAAGATTTTTTCCCATTATCACTTAAACTGTTTCAAATTCATGCTGATAGGGTCCGTAATGAATTGGCCCCCTTCCTACAGGGCCAAAGTACTTTTTCTTCTGTGTATCTTTTAGTCTGTAAAAAATGACCATCTAACTATGTTAAATCTTGTTAGTAGCAATGGGTCCTTTGTGTCCATCAAGATTTCTCAAGAGGAGGAGAAATTCCTTGAAACAACTCATAATAAACTGGTTATGATGTTCAGTGGAAAACTTAAATTTTCTTCTTAAAATTAATACCTACTCTAAAAAGCTTTGTTTCTCTTGAGAAATCATGAAGTTGACAGGGCAGGTGAGCCCTTAATATTCATTTCTTACCTGGAACTTGAACATCTCTAAATATTTGCATTGTGAACGAAGTTAGCTGTAATGTCTTTTGCGGAGGAAAGTGCAAAACAATTCCCAGTTTAACTGTACCTTCCTCTGCCAGTTTAGTGTTTTGGGTCTTGAAACAAAGATACTGGAAGGCGACACGGTTCTTAAATGAACAGTGACTGAATCTGTTTCATACCTTATCTGAGCTTATCTACAGATGTTGTTATTATCCAAATAGTCTGTGTAGTAATCTTAAATACTTCTTCCTCATTTCTTTCTTTTTGCTGCAATGAACACCTGACTGGGAGTTAGGGGCTTGGCTGCTACGAATTCAGTGGTATGTGAGGGAGTGAGACTTGCGTGCTTGGACCCTGGTGGTGGTTAGAGAGAAAAGGGTTAAGACGGATGCTTCTTGTTTTGAGACTTGTTCTGCTGAACAACTGTGGTAAACAGACATCGAAACAGGCTAGTACGTGATCACGCTGCCCAGTCATCAGCTTGATCTTGGGTGTTCAGCTACAGTTCCTATTTCAATTTCCCTTTTTGGAAAGAAAGGGAATGTTTACAATAAGTTAACGTGTAGTGAGAAAGAACCACTGTAATTCCCAACCCTACAGAAGAGCATTTAAATTATTAAGTTTTTTTAGCAAGGTGTAGTGCAACCTGCAAGGTAAATTTGATATGCACAATGTAAAAATGTAATTTTTCTTTAACACTTAGAAGAAAGCTTGAAGTATTTCCTACTGTGACTTGTGACTTGCAAGTTTTAGTTTAACTGATGTCCTAGATGAACTTAACATGTGACTTTTTACCCTTAAAGGATGAATTTGTTATATAATAGTTTGCACAGATGTCAAATTTTTGCTGCTAACAGCTAGTCCAATTCTTTTTAGTAAATGGGGATATGAAGAATTGCCTTAAGCACTTTAGATTTTTTTTAGACTACTCTTTTTTTCTGAGCTAGTGTCTGTCCAGTACCAATATATTGGTGATACTTTGTCGCAGTTGGTGCACTGTTTGTACCTGCAGCTAGAGAGGGATGCATGCAGCCTGTGAAGTTACTTTTTCCTAGGGGAAACCACTTCAGGAACTGGAGGGGTTGTTCTTTGGCAATGGATTAGACCTTTTGAAGGTCTGTCATTTTGCCCTGTGGTTAACATTAAGTATAATATGCCTGGTGACTTTAATGTTCCCTGAGTCTCTCTGCTCTGGAGTTGATGCTGTTTGGTGGCTAGACAGGAGTTTTCTCTATGACCAAAATGAGATTTTTTAATTTTTTTTTTAAAAATACTGATTACTGGTAGTCTTTCAGAGTTAAAATAACTTCAGAATAACTTGTGAGGAACTGAAGGTTTCCCTTGAGTTCTTAATACATCAGAAGACTGTAGCTTTCATTGTTTCTACAGAAAGCTGTATGAGCTGCAGCAAGGGATGTTAATTTCAGAACGGATGATTTAAAACCATCCAAGTGATAGGTGCTTCTCCGAATACCAAATACAGATGGCAGAAGGTGACAGGTTTATTCTTTAGCCATCCTCTAAGCAGAAAAAGTAGAAGCTAACATACAAACCTCCCTCCCCTTGCACTCTCCCACGTTACTGCTGTTTCCTATTAAGACTGGGGAAACTAACTGGTTCCCTCAGGAAGAACATCTGACTTAGCAGTATTTTTGTCTGATAAGGATCACAGGTTATGAACGTGGCGCATATTTGATAGCCTCTCTTGAGCTCGAACAGTCTGAACGCCCTGTTGGAAGGGGAAGCCTGGATGGGGTTTTCCCTCACGGTCTCGGCACTAGGCTGAGCAGGGGCGATCCTCTGCTGCCTGGTGCCCCCGCCGCCGCCGTGCATCGTCCTGCAAGGCCTGTCCGTGCAGCCGCGGCCCGGGGTTTACCCAGCCATCGCTCGGCCGTACCTCAGGTATTCTCCCTCGGCGCTTCACCCCTCGCCCCTGCGGAGAGCACCCCCAGGAAGGAGGAGGCGTCTCGCTGGTGTGCAGGGGTGCCGTAGGGCCCGCGGAGCATTTCGATGTCTTTGCCTTGTGTGTGATGCGAGCTTTTTGTATTAATACAGAAATTTGAAACCTGACGTGCCTGAGTGTTCCTCGTTTTATCCTCCTCCGTGCCGGCGTTCGGCCGCCCGCGGGGGGG